CCAATTTTTCTACCCTCCTCCTGATTTGGCCTCATTGAGAACTAAACCTGCCCCTTTCCTGGAGCCCTAGAAGCTGAAGCTGGTGACCACAGATCATGTATGTTGTACAACTTTCATGCTTGCTATTGTGAGGGCCATTTAGAAAGTCTGCTGAAACACCCGATGCCATCACTAAGGATATTCAAACTGCAAAAGACAATTCAAGCCCATCATCTGGGTATCTTCTCAATGCCTTCCCTCTGGGCTCAGAAACTAGTTTTATCGTATGTGCCAATCAATAATCTTCGTTTTTCTTTTTCTTCTCATAGAAATTCCCCTCATTAAATGCCTGACTGCTGTGCCACCTCGCAAATATCCTCTACTTAACCAAGCCTCAGCTAATAGTTCAGACGGTCCTTAAAGGACGAAAGGCAATCTAATGACAGATGGACTGACTTTGTCGAAAGAAGAATGTCTCTTTCTTCAGATAAGAGCAGGGACTGACAAAGACTCTCTTCCTTAACTAAACTTCAGTCAGGTTCCTTGACTAAACAGGGCTTCCTTCCGTGGTGGCTCAGACAGTGAAGAATCCACCTGCAATGCAGGAGACCCAGTTTCGATCCCTGGGTTGGAAGACCTCTTGGAGTTGGGAATGGCTGCCCACTCCAGTATTCTTGCCTGGAGAATTCCATAGAGAGAGAAGCCTGGTGGGCTACAGTTATGGGGTCAGAAGTCGGACACGACTGAGTGACTAACACAAGTCAGGTTCCTTCAAACCCTTTTTTCTAGACCCCTCCTTGCCAAACTTACACTGTTCAACTGTCATAAGAATCCTGCTTTATCAATTTAGAGAGAATTTTCCATCCTTGATATCTGGTCACTCACCCTTCATGTCTGGTAAAATTCTGTTCCCCTTGCCCGCCACCCAATACCTACCCTAGGTGATATCTGACTACCTGACAATTCTTCAGCAAGAATTGTGCTTGTTTAACCAAAATCTTTCCTCACCCCCATAGTTTCCTCTTAGTGAGAGTAATTTTCTTCCCACTGATCCCCACTCTGCTTCTTGGCCATAAATCTCCACTTGTCTTTGCTGATTGGGAATTGAGCCCAGTTCTGTACTGAGATCTCTTTTCCCTTATTGTGGTAGTTCCCGTATAAAACCTGTGTTTTTGTTTAACATGCATAATATCAATAGAATACAGTCTGGAAGAGCAGCTACTCTCATATGTGTACACTGAACAGATATTTCAGCTTTCAGTTGGCTAAAGCCTGTGAGGAACATGATGTAAGTCAGTGCTTTGTGTACATAAAGAGTGTCTGTGCGGGAACAATGCTTGGCAATTTTCTGTCCTGTTTATTACTGAAAACCCAGGGTATGGCAAAAGACACATTGGAATCAGCACTGATGGAACACAGCTGGGTGAAAACGAAGGTAGTATGTTGTATTAAATATTCAAATAAAAGATGTGGCCTGTAGTGGTAATTTATAGTGTTGCATTTACAGAAAACAGTTGCCAAAAATAGCCATTTGGTTTTGGTTTATTGTTGGAGGAAATACTGATAGTTATTGATACTATCAAATTTTAGTTTTTTAGTACATTTAGGCCTTTTTGATATACTATGAGAAGAGTTGGTTAGCAAGTGTACTGGCTATGAGGAAAAAAGATGCTCATGTGAATTTTAAAAAGAAAGAGAGATAAAAATATTCCTTCATGATGCTGATAATTCTGATGAGACCATTTTGAGTAACTTATTGAATGACATGTCATAGCAGTGTATATATTAAAGATGTTGAATTGTTTGAAACTTTAGGCTTAAAATATCCCATTTTACAGTTTGCAGTTAAGAGATTAGGATTTCTTTTAAGAAAACTGAACTGTGGTATAAATGGTTTAAACTTTGATGTTTTCTAATATAATTCTTGTTTTGGGAAAAAATACATGATTTATTTCTATATATGTTTTAAAGTCACATTATAATACATGCAGCATTATAGACATAATGCTTCATAAGAAAATGAAATACTTTTTAGAACTAAATGTAGCTAGATTAAGAATCTGTTTACCCTGTCTCCCAAATTGAAACAGTCCCATCTTTCTGCCGTCATTTGTGATATGCTTATCAATTAAATGCCTGATGGAGCTTTGAAACTCATCATCAGTGAGAAGTCCTTATAATATCTAGGTTCTCAATAGTCCAAATACCCAGAATTTTCTGACAAAACTACCAAATATTAATATTTATTATCATCCAACGATCTTTAATTGGGAATTAGGACTTTCTAGTTTGGTAAAAGTGGTAAGAATAGAAGCTTGTTGGTCATGGAACTCAGAGTCTTGTTACTTAAAGTCTTTGTCATTGGGCCAGGCATTGAAGGATTAGTAAGAGCACAAACAAAAATTGTTCTCTTTCACTGATAAGGAGTCAGGATAATAATAAATCAGGGTAATAATAAATATTGAAAACATTTAAAAACTATTGTGGCTTTTTGAATATAGATGCTGAAATAATATTTGTCACCTTAGTAAAACCTTTGTTAAAAAAGGAAATGTATATTGAGAGCTTCAGTTCAGTTCACTCACTCAGTCGTGTCTGACTCTTTGTGACTCCATGGACTGCAGCATGCCAGGCCTCCCTGTCCATCACCAACTCCCAGAGTTGACTCAAACTCATGTCCATTGAGTCGGTGATGTCATCCAACCATCTCATCCTCTTTCATCCCCTTCTCCTCCTGCCTTCAATCTTTCCCAGCATCAGGGTCTTTTCCAGTGAGTCAGTTCTTTGCATCCAGTGGCCAAAGTATTGGAGTTTCAGCATCAGTCCTTCCAATGAATATTCAGGAGTGGTTTCCTTTAGGATGGACTGGTTGGATCTCCTTGCAGTCCCAGGGACTCTCAAGAGTCTTCTCCAATACCATAGTTCAAAAGCATCAATTCTTTGGCACTCAGCTTTCTTTATAGTCTCTCTCTCTCACATCCATACATGACTACTAGAAAAACCATACCTTTGACTAGATGGACCTTTGTTGGCAAAGTAACATCTCTGCTTTTTAATATGCTGTCTAGGTTGGTCATAACTTTTCTTCCAAGGAGCAAGTGTCTTTTAATTTCATGGCTGCAGTCCCCATCTGCAGTGATCTGGAGCCCCCCAAAATAAAGTCTGTCACTGTTTCCACTGTTTCCCCATCTATTTGCCATGAAGTGATGGGACCAGATGCCATGATCTTAGTCTTCTGAATGAAAAACTGAGAGCTTACAGTGGACCAAATATTATTCAAACATTCTAAGTTCTAAGTAATGAGCTCATGTTCACTGTAAAGGAGCCAGTAATTTATGAACTGAGACATGACGAAAATAGATAACTTACCCAAGGTCACCCAGTTGTTAATTGGTAGAACCAAAATTTGAACAGTAGAAAAGTAGAAAAGTCTAAGCTCTTCCTCTTTACGTGACTTAGGAAAACAGCACTCTAGGATTCCCTAGGTGGTCAAGTCTGCTGTAAGGGTGTTTTATTTTGAAGTCTTCTGAAATATTTGTTGTTTTAACATACAGTTCTCCTACATTATTTTGAAGTCTTCTGAAATATTTGTTGTTTTAACATACAGTTCTCCCACATTATTTTCCTACTTATTATTTTTAGTATTACTACCACCACCAAGGGTCTTCCCTGGCAGCTCGGTGGTAAAGAATCTGCCTGCCAGTGCAGGAGATGCAGGAGACAGAGGTTCAGTCTCTGAGTTGGGAAGATCCCCTGAGGAAGGAAATGGCAACCCATTCCAGCATTCTTGCCTGAAAAATTCCACGGACAGTGGAGCCTGGTGGTGTCGCAAAGAGTCAGATGTGACTGAGTGACTGAGCATGCATGCATACCACCACCAATGAATAATTCATTAGAATCCTTTAAGGAGAGAAGTGGCTGCAAAGAAGGGGATGCTTTGGAGATGAAGAGAGGAAAGATCACTTTTATGGTCACAGTTTGATTACCTTAGTCTTGGCCAACTTTTTCTTTGGTTATTGGAACCCAAAGATGATTTAAGTGGCTTGTAACCTACCACCTCTAATCCACCACATACCTCAAAATTTCATGCTTATTTGACAGTGTCTTTGTGAATCAATAGCATTACCTCCCCCCTTGAAACACTTGCACATATTCATAAATAGTTAAAAACACTTGAATTTATAAATCATCTTTCCTAAAAATACATTAGAAAACTTTTTATATATAGCAATTAAATGTATTTTAAAACATTGACTTTATATAGCTTTGTTTAATATATTTTAATATTATTATTTGTTTAAAATACATGAAAATACAAATTATAGTACTGCTGTAAAACATTAAAAATATATCAGGTTTTAGAAGGTAATGTTTGGCTTGTTTTAAATGTACCAGCATGCTGACTGTTGTGTGCAGGACAGAGCTTTTTCTCTTTGAAATCTAGCAGTGCCCTCTAGAGTGAAATAAGGTTTATAGAATTTGATAAAGGAGATGTTTCACACCGCCCTGTGTTCTTGATCCCCTACCATTCCAAGGGACAGCTTGTTACATATCAAAGAGCGGAACCTACATTTTTTTGTTCTGAGTAAATGTTCTTTTCAAGGATGCTGTTTAGGTGACTTGAACAAAATAGAAATAAACTTGTTCATTATTTTGTTGGTCGTTTGCACATTTTTTTTCTCATATTCTTGTGAAACCAGCTGTAAATAATTATATCTTAAAATTCATATCTTTATAATGTTAATAGCAAGAATTGAACGTTTTGTTGACCAATATAACAGGGCTAAATTTACTGAATGCCTATTTTATATATATGATACTGCATTTTGTATTGAAGAGTACTTGATAATTCGGGAATAGACCACATTCCTGGTAATAGTTACACATTTATTTCCACTTGTCTAATGTGTCTAATGTGTCTAATGTGTCTAGTGTGACACATATTGGCTCTTGCATTAAAACTGTCTATATTAAATTAACTAAGAATATTACTATTAATATACGTCCCTTCTTTATTACAGAAGAAAATACTCAGGAGCCATCACAGGTGAAGAAAAGTTTGAGTGAGAAAGTTTCTCTGTATAGAGGTGACATCACATTGCTAGAGGTGGATGCTATAGTCAATGCGGGTGAGTAGTTGATATTTTGTGATGTGTTTGTTATACTGTTGCCCTAAATCTGGGTTTGCGTCTTGGGTATCAGGCCAAAAGATACAACCAAGCCAAAAATTGAGAGAAAGAAAGATTTATTACTTACAGCAAGTAAGAAGAACACTGGGGATCTTTTCCAAAGCAGTGTTTCCCAGAATAGTAAGATTGGGGAATTTTTATGCTAAGGGTACTTGCATACTCATGAAAGGGCTTGAGCAGGGGGGAATTCAGCTTAGAGCTGGGGCAAAGGTTGACAGAGCCCAAGTTTAGTTGGTTGAAGTCAGAAAAGGTCATTATCATCTTTCCATGCTCCATCTGGATGGGGGTCTTTGTTCCCGCCTAACTCACAGAAATTGTTACCTGTATCCCTTGAGGAGGAAAGGGGACTCTGTTTCACTGCTAAACTATTGTTTTTTGACTGTTCCTCCTTTGTTCCTGCATTACTCCACTTCCGGCAAGATCAATAATTACTGAGATGTGTTCAAGGGCAAGCATTGTTACCCAGGCTTAGATCACAAAATGACTTAGGCCAGAAATGACTTCTTTAAAATCAAGAAAGCCATGCCTGATTCTCTTTCTCTGGGGACCCTATACCCCATCTGCTTGCAGTACAAAATATTTATTGTTTAAAAATATTTTTTCATAAATAGGAATATAAGTATTTAAGAAAAAATACCCTTCCAGAGATAGAAATGTCATGTATTAAAGACATTGAGCGTTTGTTTTATGTATGTGCTGCAGTTAATGTGCTAACTCTACATGGTATCCATGCTAAGTTGTAACTAGGGTACTGGACCGCTGGAAAAGTAACAGGTTGTTGCAGAAAGTTCCTTAGAAAGAACTTTAGCAGCTGTATTATTGTTGATTTAATGCTTCAGTTAATAGTTGGCCAATAAAAGCAAGTTCATTAAGCTTTTCCTTCTTTTGACTTTGTAAAGAGATGTTTGATCTACACCAGACAGAAGTAAAATATAAAGAAATTATTTCTATAGTTTCCAAACTCAGTTGCTTGGTTTCAGCTGTTTATGTTTGTTTTTAATGGTTTATTTTATGATTAATGATCTTATGATTTGGGGTTTCAAACATTGGGAAAATAACAATGTTAAATTTTAATTTTAGTTTATTTTATAGTGGTCTGTATCTTTTATATATTTTACCATGTGACTGTATCTTAAGAAATACGTTATGTTTGTGATTCTATAAAAATAAATATCAGTAATTGGATATTTCATAATTTTAATTTGTGTTCTGTAAAGTTAGGCTCTTTACAAGTTGAAAGGTTTAAAAACAAATGCAGACTTAGGTAAAGAGAAGCATTATTCAAAAAGATTATTACAAACAAGGGGTGGAGAATTATCTCAGTAGGAGGAGAAAGAATACTGCGATAGGAAGAACCACTTTGACTATGAGATAAGCAAGCATCTCAAAGTTCAAGCAGAAAAGGACATTTTTTTTACAGAGAGGCATGAACAGGATATGGGTGGCATGATTGGACAGTTGATCAGGGAACATTTTTCCTTGAGGCCAGCTTATTTTGGAAGGGGTCATTAAAGAGGGGTTGTTCACCTTCCATTGCTCAAGGGTAGGTCAGAGTTCAGGGGCTTGGAGGGAGGAAAGAAGCCTGAATGAAGTTTGGTCAAGTCTGGTTAATAGGCATTGATCAACCATTCTGGCTGATGGGTACAAATAGTTCAGTTAATCATTTATGAGACAAAGAGTGGGAATTTGGAGAGTCTGTGCCTTGGTCTTGTCATAGGATACAAGGGGTCATTGGGAGTTTTATCTCAGTCATATGGGGAAGACTAGCTCTAAAGGCAGTAAGCTGTTTTCCAGAACACAGAAGGGTGGGGGTTAATTTCTTGACAGACCTTGCTTTCCAGGAATACAGAAGTTAGTTAGAGCTCAGTGTTGTCTCAGGTTTCACTCTGGTGATGTGTAAAGTCAAATGACATAGTAGGAACGTTCCTTGGTGTGTGCCCTAAGTTCAATAAATGTGAGCTTTAATTGAAAGAAATTAATTATTTAATTAAAAAATATATATACGTTGGGACTTCCCTGGTGGCTGAGACAGTAAAGAATCTGCCTGCAATGTGAGAGACCTAGATTTGATCCCTGGGTCTGGAAGATCCCCTGGAGAAGAAAATAGGCAACCCACTCCAGTATTGCTGCCTGGAGAATTCCATGGACAGAGGAGCCTGGCAGGCTTATAGTCCATCAGGTTGCAAAGACTTGGACACGGCTGAGTGACTAACAGTTTCATACTATCTGTACATCACTGGATCTCCTCTATATTGTTGTAATTTCTAGTCATTGATCCCAGTTCTTCCATATGGAGTACAGTTGTTGACATTTATTTCCTTCTTAAATGCCTTAAGACTACTCTCATGAGTTTTCTCTTTCTTGTTATTAACATAACATTGAATTTGCCTTGATAGCATACTTAATAATGCTAGTAATTATGGTTTTCTTTGAGTTTTGTTAACTGTATACTCATTTATCTCTCCGTTGAAGCTATAGACTGGTGTTTTTTCCACTTTTGGTGTAATTTCTCAAAGTAGTGTCTTGTCCTTATGTTCTTAATAAACACCTGGTCCTCTGTATTTGTTAAATTGAACTATACAATTGAGTTTGTAGCATCTTTGACCCATAGCACATTCAACAATGGGGACTTGACACAGTGAACACAATTTGGCTTATTTAAGAAAAACAATTTATTTGATCAAGAAATAAAAATAATTTTAGTGAAATAAAATGGTGCTAAAGAGAAAGCATCATTAACAGGAAAACATCTCATTACTCTTTTGATTCTTTGTCCTTGCTTGTGTAATTTTTTCATAGCTGTCACATAGTGTACAAGAGTTTGACGAATTTATACAAAGGCAGGCAGCAACTCCAAAAGCCATTTGGCACTGTTGGCTTACCTCTCTGGCTGAGGTAATTATAGTTTGGCCGTGTTCTGCATCTCCCAAGGACAGCCTTGTCAGGAAGTTCTTAGGTACATGGAAAGAGCTGCCAAAGGTGCAGTGTGATGACTTTATTTTCAGCTTTCTGCTGTGCTGCTTCATTTGCCTGGTGTGTCAGGAGAGGAACAACTGTTAGCTTTCAGGGGAACAAGGCGACATGGCAGGAAACTCAGGAGCTGCCTCTGGTGAGCGGGGAGTGGGAGGCGGTGCGCCCAGCCAAGCTGCCACAGCAGCCGCGTCATCACTCTCTGCTGTGTAAGTTCTCTTCCCATGTCTGCGTTAGTGCGTTGGAACGCCTGGCGGTCATGAATGAAAGGATTTGATATTTAAAATTTTTCCCAGCCAAGTGCTTTCCCAACTTCAGTCTTGCATTTCAGTCACTCAGTCGTGTCCGACTCTTTGTGATCCCATGGACGCCAGGCTTTCCTGTTGATTACCAACTCCCAGAGTTTACTCAGACTCATGTTCATTGAGTCAGTGATGCCATCCAACCATCTCATCCTCTGTTGTCCCCTTCTCTGTCCGTCTTCAATCTTTCCAAGCATCAGGATCTTTTCCAGTGAGTGAGTTCTTTGCATCAGGTGACCAAAGTATTGGAGTTTCAGCTTCAGCATTAGTCCTTCCAGTGAATATTTAGGCCTGATTTCCTTCAGGATTGACTGGTTTGATCTCCTTGCAGACCAAGGGACTCTCAAGAGTCTTCTCCAACATCACAGTTCAAAAGCATCAATTCTTCAGCTCTCAGCTTTCGTTATGGTCCAACTCACATCCATACATGACTACTGGAAAAACTATAGCTTTGACTGGATGGACCTTTGTTGGCAAAGTAATGTCTCTGTTTTTTAATAAGCTATCTAGTTTGGTCATAAGTTTTCTTCCAAGGAGCAAGTGTCTTAATTTCATGGTTGCAGTCACCGTCTGCAGTGATTTTGTAGCCCCCCAAAATAAAATCTCTTAGTGTTTCCATTGTTTCCCCATCTATTTGCCATGAAGTGATGGGACTGGATGCCATGATCTTAGTTTTCTCAATGTTGAGTTTTAAGCCAACTTTTTCACTCTCCTCTTTCAATTTCATCAAAAGGCTCTTTAGTTCTTCTTCACTCTCTGCCATAAGGGTGGTGTCATCTGCATATCTGAGGTTATTGATATTTCTTCTGGCAATCTTGATTCCAGCTTGTGCTTCTTCCAGTCCAGTGTTTCTCATGATGTACTCTGCATATAAGTTAAATAAGCAGGGTGACAATATACAGCCTTGACGTACTCCTTTTCCTATTTGGAACCAGTCTGTTGTTCCATGTCCAGTTCTAACTGTTGCTTCCTGACCTGCATACAGGTTTCTCAAGAGGCAGGTCAGGTGGTCTGGTATTCCCTTCTCTGTCAGAATTTTCCATAGTTTATTGTGATCCACACAGTCAAAGGCTTTGCCGTAGTCAATAAAGTAGAAGTAGGTATGTTTATGGAATTCTCTTGCTTTTTTTGTGATCCAGCAGATGTTGGCAATTTGATCTCTGGTTCTTCTGCCTTTTCTAAATCCAGCTTGAACATCTGAAAGTTCATGGTTCACGTACTGTTAAAGTCTGGCTTGGAGAATTTTGAGCATTACTTTGCTAGCGTGTGAGATGAGTGCAATTGTGAGGCAGTTTGAGCATTCTTTGGCATTGCCTTTCTTGGGGATTGGAATAAAAACTGACCTTTTCCAGTCCTGTGGCCACTACTGAGTTTTCCAAATTTGCTGGCATATTGAGTGTAGTGCTTTCACAGCATCATCTTTCAGGATTTGAAATAGCTCAACTGGAATTCCATCACCTCCACTAGCTTTGTTCATTGTGATGCTTCCTAAGGCCCATTTGACTTCACATTCCAGGATGTCTGGCTCTAGGTGAGTGATCACACCATCATGATTATCTGGGTAGTGAAGATCTTTTTTGTATAGTTCTGTGTATTCTTGCCACCTCTTCTTAATATCTTCTGCTTCTGTTAGGTCTCTACCGTTTCTGTCCTTTATTGAGCCTATCTTTGCATGA